CTTTTTGTGCTTGATCAGAATGGTAAGATGCTGAGCCTAGGATTTCTCTTGCATAATGGGCAGTTATGGAGAACAAAAGTAAACATAGCTATAGCCAGATAGGTTTCCTGCTTTTTACCCTTAATAACTTGAAAAATTCTCAGAAGGCCTTTTAACATTAGTGGGAGACTTCAACTTCAACCCTCTTATATATACATCCATAGGTCATTCCTCAATTGCCTACTGTTAATTGAACAAAATTAAACACATTCTACACCAAATGCAGCTCCTGGATGCATGGAGTATCCTGCATCCCATAGTGAAGACTTTCCCAGATTATTTTGCTATATACACCTTCTACTCATCCGATACTTCTCAACCATTTCCAGTAGAGATGCCGCGATACCAGTTTTTCGGTATTAAGTACGAGTACCGATACTTTGCTTTTACTACTTGTCGATACTGAGTACCGATACCAGTAGTTCCGTTGGCATGGAGACTGCTTCCTATGTGAACAGCCAGCCGAACACCCTGACAGTTTGTGTGTTCGCCGAACACACGAACTGCCGATGTTCGAGTCGAACTCACATTCGGCTCCAACATCGAGCCCAACCCTACTTCCTGGCCACACTATGCTGCAACACTGACATAACAGGCATATGCCTGGGACAAAGCATCCATAAACGGTCTGCCTTTTTGGGTGATGTTTTATTAAATGTCTGTAACCTTAAAATAACCCTTCCAATACTCATGCACAAATTCCATAAATTCGCTCTTCCCCTCTAAGGATTTGCACCGACAAGCACAGTTAGCATGCACCTGGTGAGAGTAAACATTAAAGTAATATTAAAGTCAAAAGGATTTTAAAATATTTCAAATACTGATGAAATCACTAAATGCTACTTCTTGAAGTTTTATTTCCTGTAGAATCAGCTGGTCACCTGATCCTGACTTCCTATTTTACAGTGATTCCTTTCTCAAGCAGAGTGCTATGCAGTCACCCTTGTGTGTGCTAGTAAGCTGTTTGTGTCTCCACCAACAAACAGACACAGCAAATTAAGCTACTTCCCTCCCCCCTGGCCCCCTTTCCTCCCTTCTCCAAGCTAGTAGATGACCAGTTGCTGGAGTCTGTTCTATCCCTTGTGATCTTGTACTGGACAGGAAGTTCAGGGAAGCAGAGCTGAGAGACTTGGAAGCAGCTGCTCAGAGCTGGACAATGTATATTTGTTTGATCTGGATTTATTATTGATAATACTAATAATAATACACAATACTACTTTAACATACCTAAGCATTAACCTAACAGCCCAATTCTAAGATCTCTTCGAACATTACTTTCAGCCTCTTTACAGTCAGATTGTAAGTGACCTGCACCAATGGGACAACCTCAAATTCTCCTGGTCTGGCAGCATTGGAATTACAAACATTAATGTGTTACTCCCAGGGGTGTAAGTTGAAATCACAGGGCCCCATAGCAAAATTTTGTATGGGGCCCCGTGATTTCTAGTTATACCCCTTGCAGAGCCCACTCGAGATCCCACCTGAGGGTGAACCTGCAGAGCCCACCATATACTATCTATGGTGGGCTCTGCAGGTTCACCCTCAGGTGGGCTGGTCACACTCCTTACTTGTCTACTCCTCCTCGTCCACGGTTGCTGATGGGCCCTGCCTCCTCCTCTGTCGTCGCGCCCGCCACCTTCGTCACCGCACCTCGCCTCCTCCACTGGTACCAATTATGTCTGCCTCCTCTTCCACTGTCAGGTCCAGCCTGCTCCACCGCCGCTGCTGGCTCTCATTGACTCTGCGGAGAGAAACGCGCTGCTGCACAGATTACTGTAAGTGATCTGAACAGCGGCGTGTTCTTCAGCTGCCAGTGAAAGCCACCTGCAGAGGATCCCATCGTGACCCAGGTGGTCCGCGCGGCATCTGGCCGAGCCCCACTTTGCCCCGGGCCCCATAGCGGCTGTCTGGGTCGCTATGGTGATTGTTACGCCACTGATTACTCCATATCCTGTTGATGTTCCAAATGTTGTTGATATTGATTCCCTCGAGTTTGCTCAAATCTATTTTTGATTTAATTTGGTCACATTTAAATCCTAGAGTACAACACTAAGTGTTAACTAGAACTAAAGCTCAGAAACAATGGATAGATGCTGAGGAAACTCTTCCACCCAAAATCTTTACACAAGGCTTCGGATACGTAGGTCACAAAAGGAGTCTGACCAACACCATTGCTCCAACAATAACCACTACACTCAAAATTTGGGATTTAGTATGGAAATCCCATCACTGACAACAAATTTCCCAACTTATGGCACTTATTGAAAATCCCCAATTCCCTTTGGGTCTAGATGCAAGTGCTTTTCAGCATTTTGAAATTATGTCACCAACACACCGTTATGAAATGTCCAAAAGAACATGCGTTAATTATCGCATATTGCCACTTATCATGTGCAACATTTCAGGGCCATGCAGGGTCCCCTTCATCAGCACTGGCCCACAGAAAACCTGCTGGGACTACACCATGACACCAAAGGTGGCAACATACTTGACACTTCAGAAATAAGAAACGGATGGGGGCATTAACTCCTGTACTTTGGGTGGTTTTAAAATTTTGTTAAGGCCCTCCCATTACCACTACAACATTTAGACTACCTTAACCCAATAAAAAAAGTATTTTTTCCCACATTGCTTTATAAGCTGCTCCTAGCAGCAGCAGCAGATCTAAACCCTTTAGTCTACCTGAAACACTGGAATCAGGAAGTGTCTCGCACCCTCTCTGACAAACACAAATTTAAAATTCTTCTCCTGACTCATACCTTCTCTACCAGTTCCAATGTATCAGAGAGCAATTGTAAACTCCTAGCTCAATGGTAAAGAGACTCAATACGTAGGTGGGACAGACGAGATTCTCCAATGTGCTGAAGATGTTGACTAGCATCCAGCTCTCTCTACCATATTTGTCGGGACTGCCCACTCATTGAATCTTATTTGTCACCACCCTCATAGTGAAAATGACCATTGCGACTCTTCCACAGGACCCCTGGATCTTTATATTTAACAAACAATTATGTCTGCCTCTAAATGTAAGAAATCCCTCATACCATTCTTCCTAAATGCGGTCAAGAGCCTGATGTTCAAATACTGGAAAACCTCCGAAGTGCTATCTGTAGAGGATACTGTGAGTTCATGAGATTCATTTGATGGAAGTGATCCCCATTCTTAAAAAGGCTGACTATAACACATATTACAAATATGGGTAAACTCAGGGCCGGTGGAAGGATTTGTGCCTACACAGAGGAAGGTGCATTTTTCTGCTACCCAACCTTTTTTTATACACTATATATAAAAAATCATGTGCCCTGGTGAGTCCCTTCGGCATTCATTGTGGCTGCTGATGGGTTGATGGTGGCAAAAATCCTGTGTAAAAAATGTTAGGAGGCTTTACACTGACCGCCAATGTAACGGAGGTATTCACACTGACCAGCAATGTAACTAAGGTATTTACACTGACCAGCAATGTAATGGAGGTATTCTCACTGATCGCCAATGCAATGGAGGTATATACACTAACTGCCAATGTAACTAAAGTATTTGCACTGACCGCCAATGTAGCAAACATATTCACACTGACCACCAATGTAACAAAGGTATTCACACTGACCAGAAGTGTAACAAAAGTATTTACACTGACCGCCAATGTAACAAAGGTATTCACACTGACCAAGGGTATGTGTTGGTATAACTTCCCATTAGCAGGATTGTGGACACCTGATTGACTCAAACAGTGATGTTTAAAAGGTATTAGGCAGTAAATAGGAAAAAACAATGTCAATGATCTCCCGAAACAGATGTGGATGGACTTATTTAAGGTAGGGATTCTTAGAGAGGAAATAGATATAATATCCACATCACATGTGCTTAAATGTTAGGAACAAATGGATGTGGTGTGAGCTGTGCATATTGGTATATAAAAGGAATATATAATCTGCTGTTTACCTTATTAGAGCAATCCTTCGCCCATGTCAGCAATAGCTATTCACATTTCCTACTCGTACTCGCCTAAATGCTCCCGATGCCTATCCCAATAGCAAAACTTCCAGTATCAGAAAGCCGGGCAGCAAGTCATTACACGCTGTCCGGGTTTCTGACTGGTGACAAGGGAGCCAGCTTCCTGGCCAATCAGGAAGCCGGGTGTTATGTACTGACCTCGCTGCCCGGTTTCCTTATGGGTCGGAAAAAGCTGGCCCATCAGGAAGACAGGCGGCTAGTCATTACTCGCCCCTCCAGCTTCCTGATTGGCCAGAAAGCGGGCTCCATGCTTCCTCGTCACCAGGTGTCGGGAAGCTGGGAAGCCGGTCGGCAAGTCATTACATACCGCCCGGCTTCCTTAATGGGACTTCCGGTATCAGTATTCCGTATCGTCGAGTACCGAAAACAAAATATCGGTACTCATACTTGATACCGAAAAACCGGTATGGGTGCATCCCTACCTGCAAGTATATTCTGCTGCTGGGATAGAGAGTAGGAAGCCCTGTGTAAGCTTTGAGAGGTTGCATAGGGCTGAGGACTCTCCCTGCCCCCATCTGACAGTGCTGGGTAAGTCACCGAGCAACAGCACTATTACCTGAGAGGAAGAGGAGCAAGTCATTGTTGTTCATACCCAGAAGTATCAGCTATTTTCTCACTGATCAAAATGGTAAGAGAGAAAAGGAAAAGTGAAAAGAAAGACAATGTGCTGCTCAGGAGGGATGCAATAAAGGAAATGTGACCTTATATAGTTTTGCTGCAGGTATGCATGCAATGTGTTAGAAAACATATACTGCATATTCTATGCAATGAACAATACCGTGTTTCCCCGAAAATAAGACAGTGTCTTATTTTTTTTTTGCACGAAATAAGACACTAGGTCTTATTTTCGGGGGATGTCTTACCTGGCTGGGGGAGGAGTGGACGAGGTCCCGGAATGAGAATAATGCATTAGATTTTTTAAATAAATCACACAAGCAAAAATAACTTACAACACCAACAGGGAAGGCTAGTACAGCCAACATCCAATCTCGGAGAGAGGTGAGTTTTTTCAGTTGTCGTTCTTGTTCCAGGCTGTCACTGCCCTTGGTTAGGATACAGGATAAATCTGAGAGAACACAAATCCCAAAGAAGACAGCTTGGATCACCTGTAAAAGAAAATTCAACATTTTTGGTAAAAATGCAGAAATATGTAACAGGAATAATATTCCACAGCTGATAATTCAAAGTATTTAAATATGTAAACAGATATACTTGTTAAAAAAAGTACCACCAACAGCTAAAGACTAAAAAGTAACATTTTAGTTATAGGTGAAGGCTGAGTCAGCCTTTAAAGCATATCTAAACCCCAAACAAAAAAGTGTAATATATTGCAGTTTACCATTCCTCAAACGGCATGGCTGCATTTGTCCTTTTTTTTCTTTTATTCCCACTTGGTGATCCAGCTAGAGACAAACTTCCTGTCTTAAGGTAGCTTCACTGTATAGTGGAGCAATGGAGCTACCCTTGGACAGCAGCATTGTCAACCTGTGGGGCGGTTATTGTTGGATGCACTGTTAGATTTAGATGGACGACTAAAAAAAAAATCCAAACTCCAGCTAGGAATTTTTTAGCAGTTACAGCAACAAATGTATTTATTGTTTTTCCTTTTGGGATAAAGGTTTTACATGAATTAATAAGTGTCTACCTTTGTAAACTGGACAACAAGAAGTACTCAGAAGCTGCTGGGAAGGTTTACAGAATGTTCCAATTTAGTTCTCATGTTTATAAATGCTGAATACAAAGCAACAAGACATATTAAGTTTATCACCATTTAGAGTTCCTTGAGGACAGGTACCTTTGCCAAATGTTTGAGTATATGGTGCTGACTGTGCTCCATTTGCCTTAACAAGGAAGTGTATAAGTACTACAATGTGAGCAAACTGACCTGGTGTATAGTTATAAATTGTCAAAAAAGTATAACTAAAAGGCAATTTTTAGGAGTGATGATGGGTTAAAACTACTGTCAGGTCTTTATTGCTTGTATAAAGAGAAAGCCAGCACTAGCCAATAACAAACCTCAAGCTTTTAACTAGGTCAAAGTAGAAAAAAACATATAGTGGAAGAAAGCATATTACCAATGTTTCTAGGCCACAAAGGAGTTAGACTTTAAAGTATAACTAAAGGCAGTTTTTTAGGAGTGGTGATGGGTTAAAACCACTGTCGGGTATTTACTGCTTGTATAAAACCAATGTTTCTAGGCCACAAAAGACCCCGTTCTCAAAGTGACAAGCTTCATGGCCCCCAAATATTAGTAATATGTTTGCAGCCACAATATGATTTTTTCACTTTCACCTAGTTAAAAGCTTGTTTTTTTGGGGGGTGAGTGTAGGCTTTCTTTTTATACATATATAAGTTACTACAGTATCACCAACAGCTGCACACTCAATTGGAGTGGAGGGTTGGGTGCTGGATGAATTTGTACAGGTCTTTCTTGCTGTCTGTCTACCAGTTTGCTCTCTCTACTTGTCCTGATTACCTATGTCACAGGGAATAAAAGCGAGGGTAAATTCAAAATTTTGAGTTGCAACTATAACATGAATAAAAGTGAAATCTTCCAATAGGGACACTTGTTTCTGTGACAACTGTCTTAAGAAGGGATTTCCCTCACATTAGAAAGATAACCTCTAACTTTTTGTTAGGTCTACAGAACAGGAAGAGAAGGGAAATCTCCCTAATGAGAGACAGATGCCGAAAAAACCCCAACAACAGTTTTACCCATAATATTATAATTAACAATTGGTCCTTTTCAAGTAAATATACTAGATTTACCTCCACTTTCCTGGTACAGCAATTGAGGTGTCTAAATATGAATGTGCAGTGTAATAGGTACCAGTGTTATACCCAGTGTACGCTCTAAAAGTTCTGGTCAGGATGCCCCTCTCTTCTTCTGCCATATAGATCTATGTAAGGACATTTGTGCTGAGGAGTCTGGCTGTTACTCATTTGTGCCAGCACTGACCACTGGTGAGAAGCAGCATTTTTAGTAAGGAAAAATGTATTTTAAAGCACATTCCACCTTTGTGGGGGTAATTTAAAAAAAAAAAAAAAACATGCCAGCAATGTACACCAAGTGCACATGAAGCAGACATATGCAGTTGCTGTGAACAAACAAAGAAACCTACTTTTTTATTAGCTATGTTCAGCATTTCCCCATGGCTCCTTTTGAAATGGCCATTTCTGTGCTCTGCAGGCAGTCTGTGTAAATTACAGGCTGCTGTGCACATTGAGAACTACAATGTTTGGCATGGAAAATGACATTTTCCACAATGCTATGCTTCACTCATGCACAAGTTTCTCTGTAGAAACTCCGAGCTCCTCCATTCATTAACATTCATACTGGCAAAAAACCCTGGACAGTGGGGTGTGACAACAGATGCAGGAATGTTCTGAGTGATTGCTAGAGAAATCACCTTTCCTCCAGTAAATATTTCTTCCTCCAAAGCACAGACAGAGCTGGTGTGCAGTGATCTTGTTACAATGAGTCACAGGGAGGGCTTAAAGGAGAACTATGAGGTGAGTGATTTTCCCTCAACCTCATAGTTCGAGCCGGCGTGTGACAATGAAACTGCCACACGTCGGCTCAGTAGATAAGGATGTGAGCGAACACATACCGTCGCTCGCTCACTTCTCGATCCTGTCCCTGCAGAGAGCCATGACTGTCACTCACGGCTCCCTGCAGGGATTCCCCCCCTCCCCGCTCCGATCCCCCCCTCCCCGCTCCGATCCACCAGCGGTGACTGGAGGAACGAACGGGGCAGTGGGCGGGCACAGCTGGCTCTGCCTCTAGATAGGCAGAGCCAGCTGTCAATCACGCAGTAATGTCGGGATCCGTTCCAGCTGCGGCGGTCTCAGTATACCGTGAGCTGCAGCTCGTGGTATACTGAGCTTTGGGTCACGGGAGGAGGCTAGTTTATGTCTTCCGTGACCCTGAGGAGAACTATGGGGAAAACACTGACCCCATAGTTCTCCTTTAAGCTCCGGGTGCCTCTGATCTTTTCACAGCTGCTCCAAGTAGCTTAATGATCTGTTCTGAGTACGTAATTAGCAGCTGTGTGAAGTGGGCTGGATCAGCAGAGTGAGCACAGCCCATTTGTTGCTGCCTGAAGTGCTGTGAGAACAGGAAATCTCGAGGGGGAAAACATAGAAGAGAGAAAGTCCTCAGCTGCTTTACAGCCTGTACAAGACAATCCGACCCCAGTGTCAGATTGAGTTTCTTGTGGAGGGAATTTTGAATTTGTAGGATTCAAGCCCACTAAAAAGTCCATAAAAAATTCATAAATTCATGAAAATGTTCACACATATACATCATTACTGCACCTCTTCATTACCACAATAAATGCTAATCACTTACAAAGGTGGAAATGTGCTTTAACCCTTTCGCTGCCAAGGACGTATGGCATACGGACCTACAAAAGTGCTTCCAGCTGGCCAGGACCAAGCACAAATCAGTCATAAATCATAACATGCAGCGAGACTGGAGCAGAAAAATTAGGAAATGTGTAAGACTTCAAATGGGCATAAATGGAACTATCCAGTTTTAATGTAGGCACATTTTTAGAAACATTTGCAAGCCTGAATTCTAGAAAATACTGGTATGTACTTCATATAGAAACTCTAATGTAGTAAGCTTAACCAGTTGTGGACGTTGGTCATGCTAAGCAGCACAATGTACACAGGGCATGTGTAGTACACCCTGTCCTTCTGCACTGCTGCTAATCTTTCTCTTGCATTTGTGGACAATTCCCTGCTGTCAAAATACTATTACAGCAGCTACTTTAAAAAATAAAACAGACCTTCTGACACAGTGTTTACAAACACTGTTCAGACAAAGACAGAGCTATACAATGTAGCATTGTTACTTTTGGATTTACTCTGTTTCATTTATCTGCAGATCAAAAGGATGAGCATTAATCTGCATATGGTGCCAGTTAACGCTATCTGACAAGTTCAAGTGACACTAAACTCAGGAGTTAAACCTTATAAATGCATTTTAGTACCTTAACTATTAACACAAATGTAGCTTATTTATGTATCACTTGGCTGTAGATCCTATCCTAATATCATCTCTGAATTATTTGTTCCCCATGTAGCCACTGCGGCAAGTTCTCTCCCGTGATAGACTACAATCTCATGTGTAGTTTACTAATTTATATTGAAATTGTAGTCAAACACTGGAGCAAGCTTGTAGCGGTGGCTACCAGTTCCACCAGTTCCCCCGCACTCAACCGTGTATAACCAGGGGCACTATACCTAAGACAGGTTCCTACCCATTTTACTTTTAACCGCAATGACCGCCTACAATGACCTTGCAACTCCAGCATCTGCAATGACAACCTGAAAGGGGTAATCAGCAAATATGAACAAATGTTTAACGGAAAATTAAGTGGGGATAGTTTGGCCTACACCAACTATCTCCCAACTCAAGATTCATTTCTCCAGACCACCCCTTGAAAACCCTTGAAACCCCTCCTGCTTTTGCTTATATCCACCAATCAGGTAGGTATCACTTCCCTGTACTTTCTTTTCTAAAAAGACCACAGCTATGCTTTCATCGTTTTTTTGCCTCATTTAACAATGTGTTCCTCCACTTTCATATTTTAATTTGAATTCATTTTATTTTGTGAAGAATGCAACAAGAGGAGTTAGAATACCAAAAGATGGGTGAGAGCAACCCAGACTATAAGGTAAATATGAAAATACAGGAATTGTGTTATGTTACTGAAGTCCTCAACAGATGTAAGAAGTCAGTGGGTTACTAAACCCACTGGGTTCCACCTATAAATTAAATATCACTTTACAAAATCACTGAATGAAAGATAATGTGAACATATGTTTTCTTGGATAGCGATTCTTATTTTGTGCAAATATATTTGTTGATACAAATATTGTATTTGTATCAACAAATACGTATTATGTGGCTATGACTTCCCTTCATATGGCAGCATCATAGCAGTTCCTCTTATCTTCTTATCTGAACACCTCCTGTATTTTACACTTCCCTCAAACATGAGGATAGCTATAACTGCCTATAGGTTCAATCTACCAGAACTCAGGTTTAGTTGTCTATGGAGTGCTCCATAAACTGCAGGAACTGTGGAGCAATTAT